GGCCTGCTGTCGAGGGTTGTACCTGAATAGGATTCAGTTGGGGCACCATCTTCACGACAGGGTTCAGTTGGCGCCCCGATTGGCGTTTCCCTGGTTCTGTGGGGTTGGAGGTGGTGGTTGGTTAATTGAGGGCATCCTGTGCTGTCCGCGGGGGTTCCTCCATTCGTCTATCGCCTCAGGGTGTCGTGTAGCGTTATCCTGACGTGGGGGACGGTACGGCTGTTGTTGCTGCTGCTGGTGTTTGCCGGTCCGGCGGATGTCAGATTCCATGCCCTGGGCGATTGTCAGAAGGTCTTCCTCGGTCTTGGGGACGTTCGCTCTCAGGCAGATCGCAATGTCAGGTCTCAGTAAGTTCGCTATCGTTATACATCTCTGGTCCTCGGGAGTATGTGGCATGAGACGTCTAAATAAGGCAGATTTCTGGTTAATGAACTCCTCCGTGGATTCGTCCCTACGTTGATGTTCTCCATAAAGCTTCGACGTCAGGGTTGAAATTGCGGCAGGGTCATTGTATCTCCTTAGGAGACGGTCTCGAAATGTGGTGTATGGCAGGTCCGTGTATGAAAATTTCTGAGCCCATTTCTTCGCATTGCCGTGGAGGGAATTGTCTATGAGGTAGTCGATCCATTGGTCCTTGTCTACGTCATGTTTGATTAAGAAATTCTCAGCTTTTGTCCAAAAGCTGAGTGGATTCTCGGTGTCCCGGCCTGAGAATTGAGGGGGATTCGTGTAATTTATCCTGGACTTCGGTGTCTCAGGCTGAGGCATCTGGGGTGCAGTGCCTTGAGTTGTGGATAGGGCCGTCATCGCTTGCATCAAGGCAGAGATAAAGTCAGCTGTAGCAGGCTGGCTCAAAGACGGTCCTGGGGTCGTGAGTTCGGGTTTTGTTAGTTGGGCGCCATGTTGCCGAGAGGGGGCATTTGGGCCTGTGGGACCCATCGCCGGCTCTTCGGACTTCTTACTGTCCCCGGAATTTGATCGGGTGTTGACCATCTTTGTTTGTCGCTATCAAAACGGTTAATAATCGCTACTGGTATAAAGTAACAGTTACCGTGACAAGTATCGGTTATAGGTAACATTTCCAAGGAAACGGTTACGAAATAACGGATCCAAGATAGAAAACAGAACAGGTACAATAATCTAAGTATTCCTTGACTTACGGAAGGAATAGCTTAGTAAATCAAAATAAATCAAACGGTATAAAAATATAATACAAGATAAATGCGCCTAAGTGTTTCTTGACTTACGGAAGAAACAACTTAGAGCAGAAAATAAACAAGAGAATATGGTAAAATAGATGTACAAATATTTATAAGTGTTTCTTAACTTACGGAAGAACAACTTATAATAGAAACAAGAAAATCAAATACAGAAAAGATGTGAAAATATTGCTAAGTGTTTCTTGACTTACGGAAGAAACAACTTAACGAAAAATAGAAAATAAAATAGTCAATAATATGAAATAATATCTTAGATAAAAGTATCAGAAATAATAATGCAAATATGAAAATACTTCTAAGTGTTCTTTTGACTCACCGGAAAAGAATGACTTAGACACACACCAATTAACATGTCGAATAAAATAGCAAAGCAATATTTCTAAGAGTTCTTTGACTTACCGGAAAGAACAGCTTAGATACAAATACAAGAAAATAATCAATCAAAATAATCAAATAAAATATCAAACAATAAGTACATGAACAATGTGTAATATTCTAACCTGAAAAGGTCTGAATATACAATAATGCTAAAATAAAAATGGTATATAGGAAATCAGAAATAAAACAATAACTTAGTTGGAACAATAATAGCACCGACTAGGTCTACAGTAGAAGAGGCAAGCTCAACTGACCGATGAGAGAAATTCCGTCTGCTTTTATATAAAACAAATCCTTTGTTTTACGTAGTAAAAGTGGAATTTCCCTACATCGAGTCAATTAGAAATTCGGATTTGCCCACACTTGGAATTTCCAAGTATTTCTCCGAATTTCTAAATGCGTCCGGCACGGCGGTCAGCTTCTGCTTGACACGCCTCCGGAGACAGTATGTCCAGCTATCTGTGATGATAGTAATAATCGTAATCTGTCTACAAGTTCGTTTGGATCATCCCAGTGGACGTAATCTATTTTATTGTTGTTTACTTTCAGAAACATTCCTTTGCCTTCTGCTATTGGGGCAATTATTTTTTTATATTTTTCTAATTTACTACCATCTATCTGTTTACTTGATCTGTAATGTCTTCGTTGGGCATTTGTCGCTACAACTATCTTTTTATAGTTATTCTCATCGTCGTCTGTAAAACTAGCTGGATATTTCTTAAACAAAAGCTCATATAAACCTGGTGTTCCCCTGTACCTTTTCTTTTTTAAAAGAATATCAGCACCATCTAAATTTATTTCAGAATTTCCAATCAGTAGCTTTTCTGATGTTTCATCAAATCTAATTCCATATTTATGATCAAATTCTTTGTTGAGAACATCAGCTTGCATATTTGTAATATATTTCTTAGGCAATGGATCATATTGATCCCAGTAGTCTGCACGCGCTTGGTTAGCAATATCTTCAAATCGATTTTCAGAATCATTTTTAATCTGTTCTTTTATATCATTCACTTCAATGTTGTCCAATATCGATTGTTTGATTTCACTTGTTTCAAAGTCAGTAGTTTCATCATCATCTTCATCGTCATCTTTTTTAATGTACCCTAAAGGTTCATAGTTTTTTGTTTCATTTTCTGGACTAGAATGTTGTGAACTATTTAACTTACTCTCTATATTTTTCAAGTGTTTTGTAATTGGAGTAAATAAATCTTCTTGGGTTATTTGTCCTTGTTTTAATTGTCTTAATTTACTTTGAATGTTTCTGCGTTTAGTTATAAGTTGTCTTTTCAAATCTTTATTCATCGTAAAATGCAGGTATATAATCAATCAGCTTTAGATCAGGTATTGAACAGGTATTGAACAGGTATTGAACAGGTATTGAACAGGTTTGAACAGGTTTGAACAGGTTCTGATCAGGAATCGAACAGCTTTTAAACAAACTTGGTACTAGTCTAACCCAACTTATGTTCAACATCAACAAGGTTATGAAAATATTTATTGTGTACAGGACGTTAAATAAGAATAAACTTTTTTTTTAACTTTTTATTTATACTAAAACCCACAATACAGATTTACTTCATTAGATGAACTACAGTTAAAACATTTGAACGACATTGGTTAGAGGATTATAATTAACAATACGGTCATGTATAATTATACAATAGGCAGTTTTGTTAGCTGGTATATTCTTTGTAGTTTCTATTTCTATTCTCATATCAACACTTCCTGATTTAATTGATTCATTTTGTCTGCTGCAATCAATAACAAATATAGAAGCAACAGCACAGAATTGTAACATAGTTAGACATGGATCACCAACAGATTTGTAATAGTACGACGGTTGAAATTGTGCATACATTTCATATGCAATAGCATAATTTCTTTTATTAAAGTTCAAGTTTAAATTGTCATACGGGTACATTTCAGAATTTAGGAATAGTTTTAAGTTTGTAATATTACAGTGATCAAAATAGCTGGTGTCTTCTTTTATTGCATTCTTTTTAGCAGTTTGTACTGCAAACAAAACAAATCGTGGTCTCTCTAATAGGCTGGTAGTTTTTACATTCCAGTTAAATTTCATTGTCTTAGGCAGTAGAGGAATTTCATAATATTCCCAGCTTCTATATGCAAGCTCTAAATTGGATCCATTTTCAATAAATTTATATAAACGTAATTTTTCTGAATCGGACACTTGAATATGAGGCATTTTCCACATTAATTTAAATATTTCCACTTTTGGTTTTTCAGTTTCTACTGTAGACATTATTGCATTTAAATCTGTTGAACTTCTTATCAATACGAGTTCTTGGCGTATGTTAATTCGAATTTTGGTGTGTGAATTTCGGTAATTAATTTATCGGTGTCTACAGCTTTCATAATATATACAAAATTTGGCAAACACTCACAAAACTAACCAAATAAAACCGCTGCAAAAGTCACACGTTTGTGTTGAAGCACGAGATATCTTTTACTGATGTGCCGCCGGAAGTCATAAAACCGCCGACGGCACATGATACTCATCATAGTCCGCGCGGCGGCCGCGCAGGGAGCTGACGAACGACGGCTCATCTGTGTTACACAACATAAGTACTATAAACGAGAGACCGCTTTCAACACCGCCGCGGCAGCCGACGCGGCTCACGCCGCTCTGTCTGTGTTTAACCTTATACCTAATAATTATATATATACATATATACACCGACATAATTATTTATTATTCTTCATATAATAAAATGCTTTCTTCATTTCTGATTTATTAATAGTAGTTAATATTTTTAAACAGACAAGAATGGAGAAATTATTATGGGAGAACCAGAAATATTGAAACGCTTGAAGAAGCACTTTGATGGGCTTCTACATAGAGCTGAACACAATAGCTGAAAAGAACACACAAAACCAAAAGAATGAAATAAGAAGCTTTGACTATAAGCAGAATTCAAAATATTATGGAGCCCAGGAAACGACTAATATTAACTATTACAATAATAATATATTAAAATTTTGTTGCTATTTGTTCTATCAACGATATTTGTTTCTTTTCAATAGATGTTTTAATGGTATTTAACTCCATTTTTTCCAGTTTTGGTCGTGAATACTTCAAATATAATTCACCACATAATTCATAATGTGAATTACGTCGTGAATATTTTTTATGTTGAAATATTCATTTTATTTGTTTATCTGATTGTTTTCTTTCTTTTTCTTGGTCGTTTTCTGTATAATTTTATTTATATTTTTTTAAAGAAATCTCTTTATATTCTACATCGGTCTATTATTTTGTCAAAACTTTTTCTTTTTTTATTAATGTTCATGTTGCAGATTTTTTCTTTTCCATTTTTGTCACTTCTTTTTATGGATGACTTTAAGCAATTTATAAATATCTTTTATTCCTTATTTCAGAGGCGAATTTATATCTCCAGAACTTCTACAAGTGAGTATTAAACCATTAACTCATAATAAAAATTAATAGATAACAGATTTTATTAGGATGAGGGGAAAGAAATAGAAGTTTTTCTGCGAGATGTTCAGGTCCTAGTGGATGAAGAAATAATCGATAAGGCTGAAGAACTTGCTGATACGCTAGGAAAAGAAAGTAAGGAAGAACTGGCCAAAGTATTCAATGTTATGTAATTTTTGTTGTTTAGTTTTTGCAGAATTTGGGCAACACAAAGCAAAAAAGACCATGACTAAGAAGAGGTAAGCAGTAGTTTATTAAATATATCATATACATATACATATATATATATATATATATATATATATATATATATATATATATATATATATATATATATATATTATTGCCTCATTGTTGTTTATTATTACATCTTGGACATCCACTAGCTTGTTGTACATGGTTTTTGGTTTTTGTCAAGTTCATTTTTAGACCAACTTCATTGCTAGCTGCATTTAGGTCGCTAATAAGTTCTTGTAGTTCTGTAGGATTATAAACAATCAGAACGATGTCGTCTGCAAATCTTAGATGGCTAAGGTATTCTCTATCAATGAATATTCCTCTGTTATGCCAGTTTATTTTGCTGAATATATTTTTAGAGTTGCAGTGAAGGGCTTTGGTGATATTGCGTCTTCTTGTCGGGCACCTCTGCTAGTGGGAAATTCAGGAGGGTTTGGTTTCAAAATTCAATTTGGTTGGTCAAAGCTTTTAAACTGGATATATAGAATCAAAAGCCTTCTCAAAATCTATGAAGGTTAATGCTAGCGGTATTTCATATTTTTTAGCTGTATTCATTAGTTCTCGTAGTATTTGATCTATGGTACTGAATCCACTTCTAAAGCTGGCTTGTTCTCTTGGCTGTGCAGCATCTAATACCTTTGTTAGTATGTTGTTGATGATTTTTGCAAATATCTTGTATACGATTAGTAGTAGACTTATAGATATGTAGTTTTTGATATCCTGTTTGCTACCTTTCTTATGAATGAGAATTATGCTTGCTGTATTCCAGTGATCTGGTATGCATGTCGATCTTAGGCAGTTTGTAAATATGCGTCCTAACATTTTCCAGGTTTTATTTTAGTGTATTTAAGCAGTTCCCCTGTTATATTGGGTTTCTCAATATGGACGTCCTGTTTTTGAAATGTCATAGCGGCCATTTTAAAAATGGGAGAACTGTCACTTGATGAGGTTTGTATTTAGTATACTCTAACAAATTACCGCGGCAAGATATACGCTTGAATAACGTTTGGAAATTATCCTAAAATTTTATGCTAATAATCGTTCTTTTGTGAACACCTATCGTGCATTACGTGAAAGTTATGGACCAAATCATGGTCCTGATGTGCGTGAAATTCGTCGAATTGTGGAAAAGTTTAAACGTAAATTTACTCTTCACGATACGAAACCACCAACTAGACGCCGAAATGCAAGAACTGAGGACGATATTGCTGCTATAAGAGCCAGTGTAGCGGAGAATGCAAATGTGTCTGTATGACAACTTGGCGAATTATGAGAAAAGATTTAGGCCTACAGCCTCACAAGATTGTTGTGACTCAAGAACTAAAACCACTTGACCGTCATAAGCGTTCTTTGTTCGCTGATTGGGCTCTAAACAAACTCGAAAATGATGATGATTTAGAAAAAAATAATCTTTTCCGATGAAGCTTATTTTTGGTTAAACGGCTTTGTGAATAAGGAAAATTGTCGTTTTTGGAGTGAAAACATTCCACATGAGCTTCTTGAGAAGCCTTTGTATCTAGATAAAGTCACTGTCTGGTGTGGTTTATGGCATGGCGGCATCATTGGACCTCTTAATTTTTCGAACATGGTGTAACAGTCAACGGTGAAAGGTATCGAACAATGATAACGGATGTTTTGTGGCCTCAGCTTAATGAAATGGAAATGGAAATGAATGGCATGTTTTTCCAATAGGACGGTGTCACATATTGCACTAGTGTCCCAACTATTGATTTATTAAAGGAAAAGTTACCTTAAACATTGAGAGGAGAATTCAGCAACTTCGACCAGATGTTTGGCCTCCAAGAAGCTGCAATTTAACACCGTTGGATTATTTTTTATAAGGATATGTTAAGTCATTGGTCTATGTGAACAAAAAACAATCTATTGAAGACCTGAATGGCAACATAGAGCACACCATTCGTGAGATTCATGCGGATAATTTGCATAAAGTAACCGAAAATTGTGTTCATCGAAGTCGCTCCTGCAAACGTAGTCGCGGTGGACATTTGAATGATGTGTTAAGGCTGATTTATAAACTTTACGTTGGCGTTGGCGCTGGCGTTGACGTTCGCGTTACAACATGGTCAAATGGAAAACTCGTATGTCTATTTATAAACATCGTTCGTCGTTGGCGTCGGCGTTCGGTTCCGTTCAAGATGAACCAACTTTATCTTTTGCCGTTGGCCGTTGTAGCACAGAATCCACAAACACTTCTGTGATTGTAGTCACGATCTCAGAACATAAAATAAAACTGTATCTTTGTCATCGCAGCAATAGCAATATCGAAAAAATGACAAAGTTTCTCAAACAAATCAAACAAAATTATTTGTTTATGTTTCTACGTGTTTATAAAGTAGAAAAGTTTGGATAATAACAAGCCTCTCTTCAACAGAAATTCCATCTGAGTGACAGTTTACATTTATTTTTGGTTTTAGCGTTTGCAGTCATTTTTCAAATACTGGAAACTGTATCCCACTTTTTCATATTTTTATAATAATTAAAATTCTCTGGTCTTTCTGTTCTGGTTAATGGGCCTCAGTTTGTATCGACGTTGTCTTTTATTTCGAAGGCTCAGTGCTGCTCGAATACAAAGTATCAGTGCCACTGCATCTAACAAAGGCCGAGCATTTTCCATTGTATTAATTTTCAAGCAAAAATTATTAATACCAAATCAAAAATGTAAGGCAAGAAATTAAGATGTGATCTTTAACGCCAACGTCAACCGAAAGTTTATAAATGCAGTGTATGATAGCTAGCGCCAAGGTCAACGGCGAACGCCAGCGCCAACGCCAACGCAAAGTTTATAAATCAGCCTTTATTCGGAACATAATTGTTATCTATTATAGTTTGCAATAAAAAAATGTTTTTTGATTTACAGTAATTTATACCGTTATCGTTAAAAAAAAAAACATCAGGACATTCTTATTGGGAGTCCCTTTACCATCTATTCCAGCTGCTTTACCGCTTTTCATTTTTGCAATTGTCGATTTTACTTCTTCCGGAAAGACTTCTGGTACATCATGGTACATGTTCTTGGTTACTGATTATTTCTTCAAATATGTCAGGGGCTTTGTATAGTTCGCTATAGAATATAGTTACGAGTTGTGTTATTTCACTTCTGTCGGTAATTCTGGTGTTTTTGTTTGTTAGAGCAACGCTTTGCTTCTTCCCAATGATCAATGCTTTTCTTGTTTTGTTATAGTTTTTGTATTGTTCTATGTATTGTATTCTCTGTATGTTGCCATTTATTTTCATTTCACTTGTCTATCGTTTTCTATCGTCATTTTTTTATTAACAAATATAAAAATTATTGAGTTTAAAGTGTTCAGCCAATGTCTTAATTAAGTAGTACATTGAAATATTACTTTAAATAATAGACATAGCAAATAATCTTAATTCTTGCGAATATTGGTATTGTTTCAATTTTTAATATCGTTGATTTTCATAACAGCAACGAAAAATTGATGTTTTCAAATTCAACTCAAACATATGTACCTACTGAAGATAAATATAAACAAAATAAATGGTCTACATTTTTATTAAAGCCCGAACGACCAATCCCAAAGCCCAATAAGGTGATAGAACAAGAAAAAATTGTAGAGGTAAGTAATACACAAATAAATATAATTTTCAATAAGCTTGTAATGTTCTTCTCCATTTTCGACGTAACATTATTATTCGGTTTTAACATTATTTCGTTTTCTTTTCTGAGTATGTTTGGGAAATACTAGAATTTTAGATTTTTTGTCAATTTAATTTATGTTTTAATATTTGTCTGGTCTTTTTTTGTATTATACGTGAGTACCATTTTAGAAATTTATTGTTTGTTAGATATCAGATTTCATCAGTTCTTTCGTACCCATTTCTCTAAGTATATGCCACATTTTATCCCATTTTACGACATCGAAGGCCTTGGAATAGCCAACAAAGCATAAATACGTTTCCATGTTAAACTCTTAATATTTTTCAAAAATTTGACGAATATTAAGGATATGTTCTCTTGTTCCTCTACCTGGGACGAATCAGCATTGTTCTTGGAGAAATAGTGGTAACAGAATTGATTTTAGTCTTTCATTGATGATTGTTACAAGTTCTTTGGTCCCGTGTGATATCAATGCTATTGTACAGTAATTACTGCAATCTGTTGGTAAACTTTTTTTAGATATGGGAATAAACTTGTGTTTACCCCAGTCATTTGGTCACTTTCCGGTATTCCAGATCTCATTTCAAATTCTAAGCATTGCTTTCGTTCCTAATTCTCCCATTTCTTTGAGTGTTTTAGCTGTTATTCCATCTTCTCCTTCTGCTTGTCCTCAATTACTTATTAATTTTTGTAATAGTACATATATACATATATATATATATATATATAATATATATATATAATATATATATATATATATATATATTCTTAGAAAGGGCTTTAGTGACTATGTGAGTAATATATACGGATATATTGGGTTTAGTAGTCAATATATTGGCCTTTAAGTAAAACTCTTTTAGGTTTGCTAAGCTTTCGAGTTTATTTTACTCTTTTTCAAAACATACTAAAAATTAACATAAAAAATTTACATTAGAAAAATGAAGTTCTTATGTCTTAAATAGGCTTACCCTTGTGAGAATTGTCTTTTAAAATTAGCAAAATTTTACATTTTGTCATTATGTCATTAACATAATGACATTAAATTTGATTTACTTGTTATTTCTGTCAAAACTTATTACTAAGGTTTCCATATCTCTTCTATTTTTTATATTTATTTTAGGTGAGTTTGACAGAAGAAGTGTCTATGTTTATGCAAACCTTCATTGCAAATTTTGATATAATATTAGTTATTAAACAAGCAACAGAGTTTATGTTACTAAGTATTTAAGAAAGAAAAAATACAAATAAAAATAAATTTTATCTCATTTGAACTTGGAATAATCCCTTTCATATGCGTAACTTTTAAGAACTTTTATATTGTTATTCTTTTATTTAAAAGAAGATTACTGTATATAGCACTAAGATTTTCAATGTCTTCTCTTTTGTTTAAGGTGTTTTGTGTAGTTTTAATTAAACACATTTCTAGAAACAGTCTTTTGTTGTAATTTCTTTCCCTTCTCAATATTTCTGTTTGATCATAGTTAGGCGTATTAATTTAAGAAACCTAAAAGAGTTTTACTTAAAGGCCAATATATTGACTACTAAACCCAATATATCCGTATATATATATATATATATATATATATATATATATAAAAGTGAGTTGAGGTTAATTGGGTATACAGCTGAATAAAAGCCAAGTGCACTCTGTTCAACAGTTCATTATATTTCGCCAATTTTCATTGGCATCATCAGATGAAAGCTACAATTATTTAAAACATGGTAAAAATAAATAAAAATAAAAATAATAAAATACATTCAATAGTCTTACTTGATTGAGGTTGTGGCAATATGATTTATGTTATCATCAGAAAGGTTTGTGGTATGATGTGGATTGTAGTTTTTTTGGATATATAACATGTAGTTGTAAAAATGACAATTAAAATATTAAATGACAATATATAAATTAAAAAACAAAATAAACATAAAAACGTTTAGTTCGCAGATAGTCATTAAGGTTTAGTACTAGAAATACCAAATATCGAATGTTATTGATTGATGTGTAGCAGGAGATAATTAGTTCTATAGTGTTAATATAGTAGTTGTTTATTGATTGGGATTTACTGTAAAAGTGTGTTTTAGATAAAAAATTTAAAAAATTTTTTTTTTTTTTTTTTTTTGAAAATTTTGGAATTACATGTTGTGTTACAATAATTATTTAATAGTTATGTTTGTTTTTTCGATATGTAATAGATAAGCATAAATCTCACTCAAATGCTCAACATCTGATTTCTTATTTATTAAGTTATCCATTTGGGTGATAAATGCCATCTCGAGGAAGAGTCTTTTATTGAGATTATTCTCCATTGCAAGAATCTTTGTTTCGTTGTAGTTCATTACATGGTGTTCATTATGTACGTGTTTTGCAAGGGAACATCTATCGGGATATAGTCTGCTGTCACTCATGTGGGAAATGATACGATTTTTTAGGTGTCTGTTGGTTTGGCCAATATATTGTTTGTTACAACTTCCGCAAGGGATACAATAAACTATATTGGATAATTGATCTGTAGGTGTCTTATCTTTTAGTTTAGTGAATATCGAGTTAATGTTTAACACTGTGTAATTCGCGATTTTTATGTTAACGTCAGTTGATTTAAAAATTCGTGTAAGTTTTGGTGTTAACTCTTGTATGAACGGTAATCTAAAGTATTTAAATGGAGTTAAATTAGTGTTAGTGGTTGTGTCTATTGTGGGTGTAGTGTTTTGTAGTGTGTGATTAGGGATAGTTTGTGTTACAGATAATGTATCGTTTGTTGTATTGAATAGTAATTTGGTAAGTAATGTGTTTGGATATGAATTGTCTAGAAAGAGTTGTTGCAGGATTTTTAGATTTTTATAATGTAGCGATTGATCAGCAATCAGTAAAATTCTGTTTTTCATTTGTTTTATAAGATTAATTTTTGTGCTATGCTTATGATATGACCAATAGTTAATATATCTTCCGGAGCTAATAGGTTTCCTATACCAATCTGTTGTTATTACGTTGTTGTTGTTGCGTATTAGTTTAGTGTCAAGGAATGGGACTGATTGATGTTTGTCTTCTGTTTCTACTGTAAATTTTATATGTCGGTCAAAGTCGTTAAAAATGTATAATAGTTCATTAATCATGTCTTTTGGTAGGGCTAAAATTATATCGTCGACATATTTCTTTAGGAAGGTTATTTTGAATGGAAGAACAGGAATGACTATATCTAAGAGATCGTCCATAACATATAAGGCCAGAATGGAACTCACACATCCTCCCATGGGGGTGCCTATTTTTTGTTTATATATTTTGTTGTTAAAGGAGAAGTGTGTGTTATTGAATAGGAATCGGATTAAATCTAAGAAGATATCTTTATCGATTTTGCAATGTATACTTATGTTGGACCAATGTTTGTTTATGGATCTGAGACAAGCGTCTAAATAGATATTAGTAAAAAGGGAAACGACGTCTAGACTTGCAAGAACATAGTTATTAGGAAGTTGTAATCCATTAAATGTTGTTTTTACATCGAATGAGTCCTTTATGTAGTATTCATTATTGAAGTCATATGATGCTGTTAGTATATTTTTTACAAAGTTTGCAATACTTTCAGTTGGAGAGTTAATTGAAGAAACAATAGGTCTTAGTGATAATGTCGGTTTGTGTATTTTTGGTAATGCATAGAATTTTGGAGAGTTACTGTTATATTTTGTTAGTTGTTTTTTGGTAGGTTCGTCAATAAATTTCTTATCGAATAAGTTCTGTACTAGTTTATTACTTTCTTTTTGTATTTTAAGTGTAGGATCAGAATTTAATTCTATATATATTTTATTATCATCAAGAATTTGTTGTGATAGTTCTGTATAATCTGTTTGTTTCATGACTACAGTAACGTTCCCTTTATCAGATCTAGTGACTATAAGTTCTGGATGTTCTCTGAGAAATTTTTTTGTTTTGCCTAGTAAATGGTGAAAATAGTTGTTGGTCTTTTTATTGCGTTTAGCGTAATTGGTAATTACGTTTGTGGATCTAGCTCTTATGTTTGTTTTTGTTTGTTCGTTTTTTATTGACGAAGCTACTAAATCAATGTCAGCAAGTAGGTTCTTTATTGTGATGTCGTTATTCAGTTTTGGTTCAATACTAAACTTTGGGCCTAGTGCTAAAAATTTTTCAATATCTTTAGGAATATCTACATTACTGATGTTTTTTAACCAGCTTGATTTTGTGTTAAAATGTATGGATTCAAAGAAAGTAATAAACTAGTACAGAACTTATTCGATAAGAAATTTATTGACGAACCTACCAAAAAACAACTAACAAAATATAACAGTAACTCTCCAAAATTCTATGCATTACCAAAAATACACAAACCGACATTATCACTAAGACCTATTGTTTCTTCAATTAACTCTCCAACTGAAAGTATTGCAAACTTTGTAAAAAATATACTAACAGCATCATATGACTTCAATAATGAATACTACATAAAGGACTCATTCGATGTAAAAACAACATTTAATAGATTACAACTTCCTAATAACTATGTTCTTGCAAGTCTAGACGTCGTTTCCCTTTTTACTAATATCTATTTAGACACTTGTCTCAGATCCATAAACAAACATTGGTCCAACATAAGTATACATTGCAAAATCGATAAAGATATCTTCTTAGATTTAATCCGATTCCTATTCAATAACACACACTTCTCCTTTAACAACAAAATATATAAACAAAAAATAGGCACCCCCATGGGAGGATGTGTGAGTTCCATTCTGGCCTTATATGTTATGGACGATCTCTTAGATATAGTCATTCCTGTTCTTCCATTCAAAATAACCTTCCTAAAGAAATATGTCGACGATATAATTTTAGCCCTACCAAAAGACATGATTAATGAACTATTATACATTTTTAACGACTTTGACCGACATATAAAATTTACAGTAGAAACAGAAGACAAACATCAATCAGTCCCATTCCTTGACACTAAA